AAAAAAAAACAATCGAGTAGGGAATCAAAGCGTCGATTCTTTGAAAGAATCGTACTCACAAGTGATTTCTCCGAACGAATCACGATTCGCTTTGAATCGGTCGATTTTCAATTGTAGAGAATCGACGAATTGTCATGATAAGAAGAACCCTAGAAGAAGTACTAGTTTTCCTTTTTTTTTTTCTTTGTAATTATATTAATTATTTTGCGTGTGACGGATTGGAGGACTTATTACTTTCATTTAATTTATTTTCACGGGAAGAGCTGTTTTGTTAATTATTTTGTATTGATTAAATTTATTCTTTTTTAATTACAAGTGGTATTCAGTTATTTCGCTTTATTGCCTATCCATCTGCCAAAATAATTTAAAATGTAATGTATAAAAATGCATGGCTGCTAACTACCTGCCGCTGGTCTGCCGTTTGTTATAAGGTGTTACTAAAAAGTCACAACAGACCTTCTAAACATTTTAGCTTAATGTTCTGAAAAGTTAAATCCGGCATTAGGATTATTTTTTTTCTCGTGTGAAGGATCAAAATTTATATTTTTCGGATTTTTTTCAGTCTGTAACAGCCTAAAAGTAATATCTTGCCGATTCCTAAGTTTATGGTTCATCTAACAAGTAAGTTAGAGTTTGTATAGATGAGTGAGAGAGGGATATAATCTAGCTTACTGACCCTAAATAGTTGTGTCGCACAAAGGTTTTTGCAGTGTTTGGAAGGAAAATATGAGGTAATCGCTAAACACAACACCAATTTCCTTATTTCCCAAAAGAGGTTAACTGGGCTTAAAATTATTTTTATAAAAATGAATTATTAGAAAAACTAGAAGTTAGATGAACTGGTTAATCAATTCGTGTCCGGAAAAGTGCGATTTGATCTTAGTCAATAGGCCTAGAAGCGATGAAAATCACGAAATATTTTATATAAATAATAGTTTTGAATGAAAAGTTTTTGTTTTTTTTGTGTATATATCATGCTTGTACTTATCACAATACATGATTGTATTGTTAAACTAACGTAAACAAATTAAGTTCACGGTAAAATAAAATTTAATTTCATTATATATCATAATCCTACATATATATAAATTAGAAATTAAAATATTTTTCGATAAAAAAAATTATGAGGGCACCTAATAAAAAGTTGCAGAGGAAACATGGATCCCTGAAGTACATCTGTTTCTTTAATACCAATTTCTTTCATCTGAATCGAGACTACAAGAGAGAAGCAATGTCGATGGGAATGATGATAAAAGGCAGACCCTAGCTTTATAAGCAGCTTGAGACAAGTAAGGAGAAAAAGTGTAAGAAACATCATCCAAGCATAGTGTGGGAATGCCTAAATCGTCAACAAATATATAAAGCCATTATTCATTGAACATTTTTTTCCATCCCATTCAACTGTTTATTAACAGAAATATATAATAAGATGCACAGTGCGAATGGAAACTACGTGTAGTGTACGTGTATATTAGTTTCATATTTTCTATTTTTAACAGTTGCAATATGTTCACAATTTTATCCACCAAAGATTTGATCCATTATTAAGATCCATCCGTAATACAACAGATTGGAAATCAGCTGCTTTAAATAAAAATGGCTGGCGACTGCTGTTAAAGGAGGCCTTGACCCCACGTGGATTGTAGCGCCAAAGAAGAATAAGAAAGGGTTGATGAGTATGTTTAACGTTTCCCGATTATATATTTCTTTTCAAAAAAGATCTTGGATAACGTGCTCTAGTGAAAACATGTTTATGAAAAAAAATGTGCCAGTGAATAGGTTCAAACGGTTAGCATTGTTCCAATTTAATCAGGTTTAGCAAAAACTATTACGCCGTTCATAAAATTTGAAACAAAGAACAGATATTTCTATTTTAGATAATTTGATTTCAATTGGTTGGTCAATGGTCATTGATTCCAAGTCCCTTATTAAATCCCATATCGACTTTTCCATATTACACCTTAATGACCGACCAATCTCCTTCTACTCCTCTGTTAAAAATTTAGGATTTTTCATAGATCTCTCTCCTGGAAACACCATATTTCTCACATCTCCCGACGAACAATATCTACTTTTAAACTATTTCATCGCTTCCGCCATCTCCTACCTCAACATACGCGTAGACTCCTAGTTTTTTCTCTCATCTTCCCCCAATTTGACTACAGCTGTGTGGTATATGATGGCCTCTCGGTGGAGCTCCGTGATAGACTGAAAAGACTAATGAATAGCTGCGTAAGATTTGTAATTGGTGCCCCGAGATACTCCAATGTCTCTCACTGCTACTCTGAGTTAACTGCTACTCGTTCCCTCCTTTCGAAGACAATATTTTTTAGGTACGTTTCTTTATCAAATCATGAACAATCATCGTCCTTCTTACGCCTACAACCTTCTCAAATTCAATTCCTCATTCCATTACCTTTCCACAAAATCTCAACCTTCTGACCTTTTCTATCCCTTCTCACAGATCTACCACATTTCAATACTCCTTTATTGATCGATCTGTCAATTTCTGGAATTCCCTATCTATCAAAATTTGGAATTCCCCATCCATATCTACATTACAAACTCTCCTATTCCAATTCCTATCCCAAAAACAGTCAGATACTTGCAAAACTGTTGATATTATACATTTATATTATATCATTCATCATCAAATGATAATACTATTCCATACTGTAAACTTCAGTAGGTAGATAATACAATATCTTCCTGTTCTTAATGCCACTGGATGCATATATTATTTGTTTTTTTAATTATTTTTTATTCTTATACAATTAAATCTGTACTTACAGTTACAATAAGATAATGATGCGTTTACATATTATTCATTATTTAAATACTCTGACATTTTATATTCTCAGATTCGTCTATCCTTTGTTAGCAGAAACACAGAGCTTATTTTAAAGAAATACTAAGTGTATTTCCCTCCCCCCCCCCCCTCAAAAGTGTATAATTATCATTTTTCCTGTTCATAGTTTTAAGTGGCTTGTCATAGTTTTAAGTGTTTTGTATATAGATTTTTTTTTTATATATAGCTTGTTTAACTAATATTTTCTTTACTTTACTTTTTTTGTTATTGTTTTATTTAGGCCAGATGTAGTCTTTTATTTTTGTATTCTTTTTTTTATTCTATAAGGACTTTGTCCCAGAATAAATTTATTTTCTATTTCTATTTCTATTTTATGTAAAGAAATTTTGATAAGTAAAAAGGAGCAATCCGAAATTTCTCATTAAATAATTTTATTTGTCCACATATATCTTTCGTCATTTTCTTATTGTATTTATTTGAATGCATAGATTCAGCATAGCGCAGTTCCCAACATAAGAAAGTTGGAAAAATCATTTGATAGTTATAAAATGATAAAGAATCGATTATGTGCTTGGTGTTATAATGAAAAGATGAGGGTGTTTGGTACTGTAAAACGGGGAAACTGTCCACCTTTGGGAGTAACGTTACTCAAAAACTAGACTTACTTCGTCATTTCTATCTTTCAGAAACAAATTTGTTGAATAGGAAATTAACTACTAGTTTCATTCACGGGTATTTCATTTCATTAGTTTTTGCTCACATCATGAAAGAAGTTATTCAAGGTTAGTAGTAAGTAATGTTAGCCTCCAGGTATAAAGTTCCCTCTGTTTTACCGTGCTGAAACTGGTAGACAGGGTTGAAACTTGAGGGAGTAGGGAGCAAATGAAGCACATGTCGCAGGCGCTAGAATTTAGAAGGCGCCAAATTCAAGTACAATTTTATTATTAGGTTAAGTAAAAAATATTTGTCTCTGCTTATTGTTCGTTTTGACCTTCATAACAAATATACTAGGACACGTGTTTGTTGGAGACGCGTTATAATTTAAAACTATTTAAAATCTGAGAATGCTGGATTAAGTGCAGTTTTGTGCTTTACGAGTCATAGTTTTCAAACGTAAATATTTTTGTTCTTTGTGTCTAATGAGGCTATTATAAAAAGGGAATACGGTTTGTTTGATTTTAAAACATAAAGAAGTATCCCATAGTATATTTTATTTAAGTTAATAATAATCTTTTAATTTTTTAATGTGAAAAAAAATTAATAAATATATATCTATGAGATGAATTATGAGCAATAAACTTGATACGTTTCGGGCTGAAGCCCCCTCCCCAAATGGTAAAATATAACCATGTTTTATCGAAAAAAATATTTAAAAAGTATCTCTTAAAGTATTATTGTTCGTGTAATTACATTTAATAGGGCTTTACATTTATCAGGGCCTTCGCAAAAATCATAAATTTTAAAAGTTACTAATATTTCATATTTCAACCCAAGCTTCGGTCCTATATCCAAGGTTACATTTCCATGATCTAATTTTTAGTGATAATGTGCCTAACCATTTTTATTGTTATTATAATGTTTTTTTTAGGAAAAAGCTGTTGTCGGGCTGAAGCCCCCCCCCCCAAAAATGGCAAAATATAACCATGTTTTATCGAAAAAAATATTTAAAAAGTATCTCTTAAAGTATTATTGTTCGTGTAATTACATTTAATAGGGCTTTAGGAATCACTTAAACACCATTTCATACAGGTAGTTAGTTTCTTTCTTTTTTTCCAAAGTAATTATCGTTATTTTTATGAAAAAAAAAACAACTTTCGGGCTGAAGCCCCTCACCAAAATTAAATCCTGGATCCGCTGCATGAAATAAAAATATAACTAGTATCGCAATTAAACTAAATTTGAAAGTTTATCTTCCCGACTATTTCGTTTACCAGATAAACGAACGAACAGATATGTACTAAAAGTAAAAAAAAATGCATAATAATTTGATAATTAGTACGAATTGATTAAGTTTTTGTGAAAATTGAAATCAGTACTATTTAAATTAAATTTAAAAATCAAATCACTAATTTTATGTTTTTTAAATTTACATTCAGTCAGATATTCTCCTCGAAGAAAAACTAAACCACATCTTATTAATGAGAAAATAAATACGTCAAAAGACACATGCTATATAAAGTGAGACTGATACCTTTTACATGAAAAGAAAATGCATTGATGACGCCAATGAGTAGAATCGAGTGTAAAGGCAGCATCATGTTATATCTATCAAGACTATTGAACTAATACTGATTGGAACAAAGTAAATTGATTGATATAGAGGTTCCCTCTCCCATCAGAATCATTTATGCCTAATGACTTCATCACCCTTTATTAACAATATCATTTATTCATAACTACACAAAATTATATTATAAGACAATTTCCCTATTTGTTATTAGTAATTAATAAAAATCTGTAATTAATTTCAAAATATAAAAATAGAAATTTAAGTATAAAATAACTTATGATTAGTAAATATTTCTTTCTTAAACAGTTGAAGCTGATTTATTTTGGTTCCTTTAAACAAAATGAATTTTTTTAAACATCTGCTTCCATCATATGTGATTTTTGTTAGGAAGACATCAATAAAACAGGAATGGGTATAATTAATTTTCACTAAATAATCCAAATCTATTTCTAGGGGGGTAGAAAATAGAATTCATGGCATTAGGAATTTGAACGATGAATAGAAACTAAAACTCAAATAGTTGATGATTAATATTTCAAATATTTTTAAATTTATATTAGAGAAATATCTATATTTCTTATTACTAAATTCAGTTGAAGCTGGGATGAGCCATAGTTTCTCTTGCGGCCCATCAATCATTTTGCATTTTGATTTTTTTTTAATTCCAAGCGTCTCTCGCCCACTTTACACCCTAGGCTGCGTCTGCATTTTACACGAAACGATGACGCTAATAAAGGAAATATAGACACATACAATATATATATATGAAACATCTATTATTTGTCATGATACAATAACAGACAACCGACCAACAAGATTCCCAGAGACACCCCCTTATACTGCACAACAGAAGTTATTATGGAGAAATAATATGAATGAAAACAACAGCCTACGGGTTACTAATGGAAATAGGTGACGAGATAATTTAGAGGCTTCAAGGTGGAAAAGGAATTGGACAAAGATGCATGTTTTTTTACAGGAAAAAGTTTGGTCAAAGGTTATATCGCGACCACTACAGTTTACGCTTTTGCGTTTTTTCACTTGTAATTAGCACTAAGTAGGAACTCATTCCACACAAACCAATTTTCTCCACGGCGGACAGCGAAGATGTATTGTGGACGCTAGACGAGACAAAGAATGGCTCGATAGACTGTCTATAGACAAAATAGCCCAACATGGTTTACTAGTGTGTACTATACTTAACGGTTTCCCAGATATTTCAATTGTGGACCGCATATATGAGTTATTCTGAATAACAATATATCAGAAACGACTATTTCAATTTGCCCCAAATTTGGAAGAAACGTGTTTATTGGTGAAAAAATGATGCAATTTTATTGAATTCCGTATCATTGAATATTATTTTACTTGGTGCGTCCATATTTAAAAAACTGAAAGTTCGATTTGATCCAAATTTCGAGGAAAATTAGAAATTTGTAAACAAATGATCAAGAAGCAATTTTAACAAATTTCATCCAATACTTTCTAAAAATACCTTCGCTTTCGACTGGTTATTATATTATATGTTATAATGTCTAATTCATATAGTAGAAAATATTTTATATCCTTGTAATGTATTAATCAAGTCTTCAATGTTAGGGAGAGGAATGAACCGAATAGGATGAATGAAATGAATAGGAGCTTTCGGGCTGAACCCCTCTTCCCAAATCGTTAAATATAACCATGTTTAAAAAAAAAAAAAAAAAAATTATCTCTAAAAGTATTATTGTTCGTCTAATTACATTCAATAGGACTTCAAGAATCACTTAAACATCATTTTATATAGGCAGTTAGTTTCTTTCTTTCCTCCGAAGTAGTTATCCTAATATATACATACAATAAAAATATTTCGGGCTGAAGCCCCCCTCCCTCCAAAATTAAAACCTGGATTCGTTAGTGGTTCTTACCATATCATTAATAACTCTTAAATCCTTTATTAAGTTTACATTACAATTATCTTCAATTATCTTTCCATTTATAATTAATTCTCCTCTTATTTTGAATTCAATATCTTCTCCAATTAATGTTTACGCCTTTTTTTCATAGACTTCGTTTCTAGTAAAAAATTAGAGCCTTCACAAAAATCATAAATTTTAAAAGTTACTAATATTTCATATTTCAACCCAAGCTTCGGTCCTATATCCAAGGTTACATTTCCATGATCTAATTTTTGGTGATAATGTGCCTAACCATTTTTATTATATTCTTGTTTATGAGGATTTTTTTTTTATTATTATTATTGTAATATTTTTTTTTTTTTTTTTTTAGGGAAAAGCTGTTGTAGTAAAGGTAAACCTTCATTTTGTAATTTAATTCATAACCTAATATGGTCCTTAGGATCGAAAATTCTCATATAGTTGCCTAATTCTCTCTTTAAGTGACTAATTACATGATTGGTAGTCCTTTCTTTTATAAAGTTAATATGACCACCTGAAAATGTAATGTCACTATCAATTCTTATTCTCGAAATTAATACTGATAATGCGGATTCTGCTCTGTTAATAAATTCTATAGTATTTTCGTATTTATGTGAACGCATAGACATAAGTTCATGGTCTAGTTGACATATAGTCTTCTGGTCCCTAAGTTATTTTCGATAAAAATTAGAAGTTCATCTAAATTCACGAAGTGTTGAGTTCGGATGTGATTTTTCGCTTCTCCTTATTGTTTTATTTTACTTTATTCAGAAGGGCTGGAATATTTTCCTATGAATGAAAAACATCCCTGACCTCAGATAAAAATTTATAAGCGTCTTTAGAATCACCGTAAAAATCTTGAAAATGGTCATAGTCCATAGCAGTCATTTTATATGTAATCATTTGTGGTTGTGGTTGTGATTGTTGTTGTTATGCTTGTTCAAATTATAGTTCTAAATCAGACGTTTTTGGTTTATATATTGTTAATTTACTCTGTATTAATTTAAATCGCATAAAAATAATATATAAATTTCAAAATTAAAATTGTTATAAAAAAAAAATTATTATAGATTTGTACCTCAAGTATTCTTTAAATCCTTACGAAGTATCCCCAATCCAATGTAAGTTCTTGAACCTGTTTGAAGTGTTGAATACACCGTGAAGAAGGGGTGCCCATCTCCCTAAGGTCGATGGCGCAAGAAACTACCCCCCCCCCCTCTCCTCCCAAGATATTTTATTGCTCACCTTTTCTTAAAAACTGAGCAAGCTCTAGCTATGAGCTAGAATTAGAAAAATCTTAGATAATATACAATTACACTTGCTGCGGTATGTTCCATGTTTTCCCCTTGTCCCTTAGTCCGAAAATTCATAAACCCGTCGAAATTCGCCTCCCTCAAAAATTAAAAAATCCGTCAAAATATGTCCCTCTCAAAACTTTTGACAGCGCAACTTACGCCATGAAACCCTCTTCTGAGCACCCCTACCTTGAAGCAACCAGTTCCAGATTCTGTTGCTCAATTAGTATTTCTTAGAATCTTCTCGACCTGCCACTTAGAGCTGTTACTTTAAAGAAATTTATTCACTCCTCTTTCTTCAAGTTAACACAGGTCCCTACGTTCGGGCGTCAATTAAATTTTCGATACTCCGACTTAAAGAAAAGTTTATTTGGCAAAAATGTATACAATGAACAAAATATAGATTATACTATTGCTAATCAACAACTACATTATCTACGGCATCTAATTATCTACTATGAATGACAATGTCTGACTATTGCTAGGTGGGTAAGGGAGAGGTGTTTATACAAAGTCAGGAGAAAAATACTGACTCTAGGGATTTACTATGTATTTATTATACTCACACAATTACTACTTAGAATAAAGTCATATCTGCCGCTCTTCCAAATATGCTGTGATCTTCGATATTTATTTCTATACGCGTAAACCTCACAGTTCCCTTTTTTTTCTTTATTTCTTGGTTTAAAGGTTTTCTTAAAATTGAAAACTTAATGTGCCCCCCATAAATTTTGATGGCACAACTTGCGCCATACGTAAAGTGGCCAGACGTCCCGGTTTTGGTAGGAAATTCCCGATGTTTAACAATTTGTACCGAGTCCCGAGGCTTTTTCAAGACGTCCCGATTTTCAGAAAGAATGCGCAAGTTAGGGAACTGGAAAATAATACACGGTTTTCGGTGCTCATGTAGCTATTTCGCCAGGATATGAGTTTTATATCATTTTAGTGATTCTATAATGTTAAACTTTAATCAGAACGAATAATTGTTAAGAAATTATTATTGAGAACTGCTAAGCAAAGTTCGTATTGTTGATCAGTTGTTAGATTTCAAACACCATTGTTTGGATTTAATGATAATAAATAACCTAAAAATTATCTTTTTAATGAGACATCGTTGTTAAAAATATATATATATTGATAGGGAAAAGGTTAATTCTTAGGCATCGCCAGATTAACTTCATTTATTACTTCGATTCCCGAAATGTTGTTACCTTCAATAAGTTTTTAGCAATTTGAAAAAAAAGATGCTTGATTGTGTACATACTACTGGCACAAAACATTTGTCTTAATAACTGTGTCATTATTGAAATCATAAATTAGACGTCAAATAAATCATTAAATTTTTTGCTCTCAATAATAAACATTTAAAAATAAATACTCAAGCTTATTTCAACTGAATATTATGTCACCTGATTAACAATTTCACCAGATAACCATTTTTTTTTTTTTTTTTTTTTTTTTGGTCCATCCACTCCTGTCTTTTAAGACTGTATTGGGATTTCCCGAGCCAGAGGAAAGGGCGGGGGATTAATATCCCAGAGTTAAAAATCCCCCGGAACCGGGACGCATATTGTATTTAGAAACCCTATACCCAGTACTCCCGTCTAGGGTTCGTAATGGGCCAGCCCCCATGGCCGTTATACAAATACCATATACCAATTCAGACATTAGCTCTGCTTGACCGCTGGGGAACTATAGTCGTTTAAAGTTAATTTTATCATTGATTAATGTTATATATATTATTTTTTTAATATAAACAAAATTATTAATTTTGTTTTAATTATTTTTTACTGACAAACAATACTCTCAAAAGGTAAGTGGAAAAGCGCAGCATATTGGCAGATATGACTTTATTCTAAGTAGTAATTGTGTGAGTATAATAAATACAACTAATCCCTTGTTTTTGGCTATGGAACACGGAACAAATTTAAAATAAAGTAGTAACAAATAAAAATAATGGTTTATTTTGATTTAGTGGTTTACATTTTAAACTATATGATTATATATATATATATATATATATATATATTATATATATATATATATATATATATATATATATATACGAATCGCGTATTCGTAATTTATATATATATATAAATTACGAATCGCGACAAAGCTTAACATATGTGTATGTGTGTGTGTATATATATATATATATATATATATATATATATATATACACACATACACATATGTTAAGCTTTGTCGCGATTCGTAATTTAGAAATACCGGATTATCGGAGGAATATATAATATATATATATATATATATATATATATATATATATATATTTAATACACCTTCAATAATCCGGTATTTCCAAATTACGAATCGCGACAAAGCTTAACATCTTTAGAAAATGTCCATGTGAAAATAGAGTTGTTCTACTTTCACTTGTATAGTTTTTGGGGAGAGGAGGGTTATCACTTCCTTTCTTTATTATCCCTTTAATGTATTGTCAAGTTAATTTTATTAATTTAGTTTGACTTTACTATGTTTATGTCAGTAAAACATCTAAATGTACGTATTCTGTAGCGTTTTTCCAAGATCTAAAATAACATGTTTAATAAATAGCAATAAGCTAACAGGTAAATGAAAGACTCTTGCGAGTAGAGTTGCCCTAATGCAAGACCCAGCCGGACTTGTTCTTGCGTCAACAAACCTTGGTCTTGATCTTGCGCACTCAGTCTTGGTATTGGTTTTGCGCAATATCCCTCATCCTCTAGAAAGCCCACCTTCACTGCGGCACCGAGCCCTTCCTAACCATCCTAGTACCCTTAGGAAGAGACCCTCACAAGGTGCTACCAGCCGGACCAGATGGCCCAAGGTTTTTTAAAGAGGTGTCACTTCCCTATTCTTCCTCCTTGTTCCTGGCTTAGGACATGCTACAGGTTTCGATCCTAAGTACAGCCACCATATAGGCTGAGTTTAGAGATACCGTAAATTACCGAAATAAGGACGGGAAGTCAGGATTTTTTTAAGTTCATCGGAATATTTCAAGGACCATAGTCATTAGTATGAGATTTTAGGATAGTGGTAAGTAGTTCATTATAATTCCCATGCGAGAAAAATAAGTCTTCCGAATTGAAATTGCAATGTTGATTATCGGCAGTTGGAAAAGAATTGGTCACTGAAATTATCTGGAGAGGCCGGGAGGGAACTGATGTTATTGGATACTGGTAGGAATAATTTACGAAGTATTTTTCATTTTAATTTGGAATAGGGAGCATTATGCACATAGTAGATGAATTAATATAGACAGTATGTGGATTTGGCTAGTCGGACTAAAGATTTGGTTCTATAACGAAGATTTTTGAATGACGTATAATCAGTAAGAAAACGGGTTCGACGATATTTATGTCTTGCTGCTTCCCTTCTTTTTATCATTTCCTTTATTTCAGGGATCAGCCAAGAAGCGGTAGGAACACATATGGTCCGGATTATAAGAAGAACATGGACAAATATGGTAAAAATGTTCAATATGGATTGTAGTTTTGAGGTGAATGTGAACAACATAGGGTCAATAGAATTATGGGAATACTCGTATATGATATCCTCTTGGACAGAATCAAGATCAGATCTGATTAAGGTCGTGTAAATGAAAGCGAGAAAGTGGATAGATTTTTAACGATAGTCAGAAATGTAAAGGTCTCATAAGGTGTCAAAAAAAAAAGGGTCTATATAAAGTAGAATGTTTAGATAGCCCATCAATACAGGGTGTCCACAAGTAGTAGGAAATATTTAAAAGATTGATAGTAGACAGCAAGATCTACGAAAAAGTTCATATAAACAATTGCCCAATTTCCAGCAGCAGAAAAGTAGGAAATTTAAGAATTGTGTTTTTTTATGCGATCACGTTTTTTGTTGAATAGGAAGTGATAACTTAGAGAATATTTGTTCAAGTAATTAAATATTACTCTATAGTAAACTAGACAAAATTTACTTTCAACGAAAGTAGAGTTTGTCATTGTCAAAACTATTTAAAGAGTACTATTGAGCGGACAAACACAGTTTAGTTCCATTTAAAAAAAAAGTCATAAATTATTTGTGATTTTTTTTTTTTTTACCCTTCAACTGTACTACATTTACTCCACTTAGAAAAACTTCCTTGATTAATAAGGTTTAAGTCCATAAAATTAAGTTGAGATTTATTAGGAAAAATTTTGAGATTAACCTCAAGTTGTGTAAAGAAATGATGTGATTTTCTATCCAGTCAACTAAAAGAACCCGAGTTTTCAGCAAAAATTACTACAATCAACTGTTGCAAAACTTTTATTTCTTGTTTTCCCGTGATAAAAAACGTGACACTTATAAAATCACAAATCTTAAATTTCCTACTTTTCTGCTGCTGGGCCATTTTTTAAATGAACTTTTTTGTAGACCTTGAGGTCTGCTATCACTCCTATAAAAATTCCTCTCTACTTACGTGACATCACATATACAAGTGAGCCACGTTTTTTTTTTTAATATAAATTGATGAAAATAATTGTATTATTCTGGACTAGGGTCCCTTTAGAACAAGTTAAAAGCACAGACTACATATTAATATTCTGGTATGTCCATAAAATACAATTAAATATTTACAGGATGATTAGTAATAAAATAAAAGTTCAGATAATAAAAAGATATAAAAACGTGCATAAATATAAAATAAACAAAGAAAGTAAAATAAGTAAACAAAATCTCAATAAATCACAAAATAATCAAAGTATCTGGGAGGGAGGGACTTTGAGATTCTTACAACTTAGATTTTTAAGTGCATTTCGTGATCAAACAGATCGGGAATGGATTAGGTGTTTGAAGAGGAGATATTTGAAAGAGGATAATGACTTTGCGTGTTGAATATCTGAAACTGAAATATTTTTAAGTTTGGTTGTTGAAAAAAAGAGATTAAAGCTTTTCGTTAATTTATTGTAGTCAATTTTGCTGAAAATATGGTTACTTTTAGGTAAAAGGGTGTAAAATCACATAGTTTTTTTTTAAACAACTTGAGATGAATCCCTAAATATTCCCCAATAAATCTGTACTTCATTAATACATACTTAGCTTATTAAACGAAAATGTTTTTCGAAAAGTGTATCTGTAGTATAGTTGGATGATGCTAAAAAAAAAAAATCACAATGTAATTCATAAAATTTTGTTACGGAAGTTATCTGAGTTCTGTTGTTCAAAACTCCTCTTTAAATGATCTCAACAATGACAAACTCTACTTTCATTTGAAGTAAATTTTATCTAGTTTACAATGAAGCAATTGTAAATTACTTAAAATAAATATTTTTGTAGTTATCCCATTCAATTAAAAGAAAAATGTGACTAACTCAAAAAATCATAAATCTTGAATTTCCTACTTTTGAGCTGGGTATTGGGCAATTGTTTCTATTAACTTTTTTGTAGATCTTGATGTCTACTATCAGCCTTTTAAATATTTTCCTCTACTTACGGGACACCAAATACAAGGGAGACTGGACAATCACAAGAAAATACAATGTATCAACATCAAAATGATGTTAAAATTGAACAAAAAAACAAGACTGCTCTTGTACAGGTAATAGTTAATAAATAGTTTTAAAAGTATGATTGATACATTTAATATAAATTGTTAAGGTGGTTTTCTTATGGTTATTGATTATAATGTACATTTAAGTTTTATTAATTGAGTTTTTTAAAAAGTAACAATTGTCTTTGACAAATCAAATTGACAAAACCAAGATAATCGTTGGTGATTATGAATGTGATTTAAGTTAAAAAATAAATAAGCAGGTAATTGAATAATATAATAACTGAAAGACCCATTGTGAGTATAATATTAAGTTAATCCATGCCAATAAATGTATATATTTTTTCAAAGACCAATTAAAATTTTAAAAAAATGTATATTATGAATATTTGTTAGATCCCAACCAAGCGACACATAAAAAAAATCATAACGTACATTGAGAACCTGATTTACTTAATAGAGTTCTAAACAAGAAGGATAACAAAATATATAAGTAATAATAACCTGCATGAAATTCATAGGTGAATGTATAAGGGATTAATAATCATAACAAACAAATACCCAGTTATATAAAACTATAATTCTTTGATCATTGAGAAAATCAAATTAACAAGGGACATATAATTATCAATTACAATTTATGAACCAGTCTTTTATATAAAATAGATTGTTTTACAATATAAAAATATTTAACTGTAGAGATGAGCAAACATGTATCATAAAACAAAATTACAAGATTAAACAAACCTATGAACACTCACAAAAATAATGAATAACCTGCCAATCAGAACTTTTTTTTAAACATACATAATTTTAACAACAAATATCCATTTTTCAAATGCATGCTTATTGGATTTCTATGAAATTGAGAGATCTGTTCTTGATTTTAAAATGCTAAATTAAATATATTTGAGTTTACTAAAGAACCCCTTCTTAATGAAAATTTAGAAAAACAAACAATAAAAGACATAAAATGTTTACAGGAAAATCAGCGATTTCAAGCAAACATATGGTTAAAATCAAGAATAGAAAATGAAGTAAACATAATTAAATTCTAATCAGTGTTAATATCACAGGCCCTATCATTTGAACACTTAATTCAATATTAATAATTTTTTTGCATAATCCCAAAAAAATGTTATCTCCTTCCTTTAAATATTTAAGAACTGGAACTAACATTTGTAACATAAACATGATGTTAATTTTATTTTGCATTAATAAAACATAAATTTAAATAAAATTAATGTTTTTAAAAAATAAATATTAAACTATATAATGATGGAATAATTCACCTTTTAAAATCTCATTTCAGTTGAAAGGTAAAAGAAAATATTTGACTTAGATTTTTCATATTTGAACATAATTTGATAGTTCAAGACATTTATAAGATTAAAAATATAAATAATTTAAAAACACATTTATGAAAAACTACAATCTATCAAATATAAGATAAATATCCTTTAAAATATTTTGTTTTTAAAATAATTCTGTCAATGTCAATTAGCTATTAATAAACCTTTTTTTTCTAAAGAATATGGTTCATATATTCAAAATTTAATTTGAAAGAATAATTTTACAACAAAGCATAGTTTTAATATACGACTTTACAATAATTTATTTCAAATATTAGTTTTAAAGTATTATTTTACAATACATCCTAATTATTAATTCACATAATTATAAATAAAATTTGACCAATAATAGAAAATGTTTAATACTTGATTGTAAACATATGTGTAACAGAAATCATTGAAAGAATATATTATTTTCTTAAGTTTAGTTATATATTGAGTAAAAAACATTCTTGTTCCTAAAATTATAATTTGATATATTAAAATACGATGAAGATGTTCATGACATGAAAAATAATGTAAACAATGACTTATAATACAACTTTAATTCAGGTAAAATGTCACCTATCAAATATCAACTACAAACATGGCATCTGAAACAAGATAAAATTAAGAAAACCTAACCTATACTGGAAAACAAACAGCTTAATTGAAGACTAGATTGGAAAATTCTGAGAAAATATTAGAAAGAGGCCCTTAAATTACCAAGCCTTTGAGTCTCAAAACACAATCCTTGATTGAATATAAAGAAAAGAAAATTTTAGCTAATCAGATACATTACCAGTAAAGGTAAAAAAAAACTGCATAAAATTGCTAAAATAAAAACTGGGTCATGGGTAGTACAACAATAAAATGCAAAGATTTGTTTCTCTCTAAACATACAACAATTAACTTATAATGATTAATTTCTATCTTTAACTATATATTTATTAAGGAATATTAGTTATTTCCAGGTAACAGACTTGATCAATATTAAGCTCATCATTATTTATATAAAGAACACAAATCATTAAGAAAACAGAATTGAAACAAAACAAAAAAATAAATAAAAACAAATATATTCTATAAGACAGAAATCTCACAAAAATTGGAATCTTGAAAATATGAAAAAAAAAAAATGACGGTGGCATTTGATAATGAGCTCAATAATGTCTTATTTTTTATATAAAAGAAAATTAGAACATTTTAATCAATTTTTACACTTTTACAGTGGTCGTCTTATAACAAACTTTACAAAGAAGGTATAACATTCATAAGATAGTTCGCTTAAAGGAAAATATACTTTTTTTTTTTTAATTCCAGAATAGAAACTACATATGAATGTTACAATAAAAATGTTATTTATAAAGAATTGCTTTTATTTAATAAGAAATTCAACTGTATAAAGGTTTTGATTAGAATTAAAAGTTCTATCAGTAAATTATAACAAAGCAGAGATCATAAAACAGAATTATAAATTTGTCTGGTTTAATTTGTTTACATACATAGAATTAAATAGATTTTTTTGAATGTCCACAGAAAATACATTACATTACTGTCATCAAAGTTCCAAATGAAAATGGGCATAATTTTCATTTTGTTTTTGAATTTTTTAAACTTGATGATATTTTAATAATTTTTCTTTGGTTCATGGAATCATTCCTCTCTAAATTTATATAATCATTAAAATAATTGTCATTGTCCAATACAGCCAAAGAAACATTTGTGATTGTAAAAATGTGAAAAAAAAATACTGAATAGATAGATTATTTTACTTAGCATTTCAAATTATAACATATAATTGACTCTAAATGAGTATTTCTATTTAAAGACATTCATTTATTTTAATCAAAAAATTAAATTTTCAAACATACATAAATACTGTTTAGTTTAAAAAAAAACAAACAATTAACTCTTGAGTGAGGTATAAAGATAAGCAAGCCTTACATGGCACACTGAAAACCTTAAAAAATCCTTATTACATGTAAAGACTAACCATGAAATTAAGCACTAGATAGACTAGATGTTTAACAAGTAACATTAACTTTTATATGAGCAAATTAATAGCTATACGACCTTAAATGGCAAAAACTCTTTAATACTTATAACTAGTAACATTTATAAATACATAAACTATTTGAACTAAATAACAATATGAAAGGATTGGAGAATCACTGAGCAATTACAATTCTCATTACCTTATCTGACAATCTTATGTCTCTTAAGTTGCTTAAATAAAACTAACAAAATAAAAAAATATTCTAAATTATTTATAAAATATGTTTTAAATCACAGATAAACATCAGTACTATTAATTCTCAATTTTTAACTCATTAATAAAGAATTGATTACAGTGGTAATATCTCCGAGGAGAAAAAGGGAATGTAGTGATGGCAATTTCAGTTTTAAGGCACTTTTACAAATTGGATTTAGTAATGTATTAAGTTATCAGAGATATCCACAAATGGTAACAGCAAGCATTGATAACACCTTCAATCAAACTGTGAATATCATCAGCAATAGCTTCACAATTTGAAGCAGGAGGCTGCCTGAAGATGACATTTATCTCCTACAAAAAGTAAAACACACTGTTCAATTTGCTTACTATTAGACTAGATTATTCATCACTGAGAAAGAAGTATTGATGTGCCTTTAATAAATATTCAATAAAAAAGAAAGGAAGGATAGATACTGTTTTCTATCAAACATTTAATGTAAATCCCTCTATAAATGAGGTTTATTTTTCAATAGATTCCAGTAATCTTCGTATCATAGGAGAAGCCAAACATCAGGATGCATAATTGAGGAGGATAACATCAATAACTTTTTATTAAAATAATAACCAGTCAATGTCATTAATGTAATTTATCTTAGGAGATACTAAATATATGAATCAAATAAAATATCAATAAATGTTCTAAAATAATAAAACTTAATAAAATCATAATAAAAGATGAAGTATAAAACAGTAAAATATACATTAAGGTTAACCATTCATTCACTAAATAAATTTTGAAATTGAATAATGATTCCTTGCTCTACAGTGAGAATTTCGTTCTGCTTCAAACTCTGTTTATAAAAAATAATTTTAGTTAAGAAATAAATAAATATATGTGCATGTGTAATTATTAGTGTTATTATAATATAAATTTAAGAAATATATATTATATGAGAAGGAATTAGTCGAGGGTGCGGTCAAAAAAAATAAAAAAAAATTAAAATATATAAATAATTTTAATTTTTGCCGACGTTTCGACCCACTTTGCAGGTCGTCTTCAGGGCGTTGGATGTGGCACTGCGGGAGGCGGTTCAAACACTGTGTTTCAACCGCCTCCCGCAGTGCCACATCCAACGCCCTGAAGACGACCTGCAAAGTGGGTCGAAACGTCGGCAAAAATTAAAATTATTTATATATTTTAATTTTTTTTATTTTTTTTGACCGCACCCTCGACTAATTCCTTCTCATATCATATCAACGGTCAAGCATCTCTACATCAATATATATTATAATATAATAATAAATATTAGGTAATAACTAACAACTATTTTTGTTTTAACATTTAACCTCTAATCATACTAATAATATGAATCACGCTAAACTCATTTTAATATTTATTTAAAATATGAGGCTTCAGCCCGAAAGCCTCCCCTCCCCGCCGTAGATCCGCCCGTGGCTCTCTATAACAAGAAGGAAATAATAGAAATGTTGTTGGTTTTTCCTTATGTGAGTACCAACATTAGTTTTGGGGACTTACAAGGTTTTATATATCGATATATTCATTGCAATGTATTTCCGTCAGATATCATAGGATATGCTAGAAACTGGTTCCTCTGATCTTCTTCTAAACACTTTTATTGGAGGTACTAAAACGTATCCAACAGTTAGCAGTAAAACTTTTGTTGGTGATAAAAGAGAGCTATAAAAGCGAGAAGAAGAAGAAGCAGACGATGCTAAAGACAGACCGCAATAGGTCGAGATAATGACCTGTTTCGTAATAGCTTTTAAGACGTGCTCTATCCCACGTAACTATGTCGCGTAGCTGCGTAGTAGAGACGTGTATTGTATTACACTTGGAGTGTCGTTTCAGTGGTGTGGATCCTTGGACTAGCTTATTATAACTTTTTTCCAAGGGTGAGTTATGTTTATCTGTTTCCCAGCAATAAAATAAATAATATGAATTTCCAATAAGATAACAACAATTTGCAGGAAAATATCACTTATTCATGTGATCATTGCAGCCAAAGTAACTTAAACAAGAAAAAATGAATAATTTTCAAAAATAAAAAGTGGAATCTCAACCCAAGATTGTAGCTCGAAAATTTATTGTGTGAAATTCCGAGTACTTCTGATTTTTTTTTTTCATTTTCATTAATTTACTTTGCTTTAATTGCTGGAAAAATCAATATTTTCCAACAAATAGGTTGCCGTCAAATAGGAAGTTTACCTTAGATACCAAAAATAGTAAAATAATTGAGTATCGTTCAGTTACATTCAAGAAATTTAGAATTTTATGGGAAAAAAAATCTGATTGTTTTTGAAAAACTCTTAATGACTGATTAAGATAAGAAGATGGAGTAGGCAGTGATGAACTAAATTTTTGTTAGACTATCTCTTTCTTAATTACTCCCAGTTTCCCCTGAGAAATACAGTATGTATCACCCTCAAAATCTTGAATTGAAAATGAGTATCAGACTGAAACAGATTATAATATTAAGAGTCTTCCATTGATATTATTTTTTATTTTTTTATTTTATTAACCAGTTAACCGGAAAAACAGGTGACTGATTGTGAAAACATAAACAATATGCTCACATATAACCACACTAGGATTTAATATATAAGAACTATGTAAAACCTAAAATATTATGGCAAATTTTCATGATGAAAAATGTTGTCATGGCCATTGCAGTGGTAGTTTGGATATGATGAAATATTTCGTCATACCCAGTTAACAGGTTAAGAGAGGTAAGAGTGTGTAAAGAAAATTTTTAAAAATATGAAATTTGATATTTTACTATCTATTCTACTAAAACAGATATGATGGATTGAGAATAACAGAAAATGTAAATACATACCCCTGCATTATTATTCAAATCCAAGGATAACATGACAAAGCCATCAAGAAATCGAGGATGAAGTATAAGCAAGTGTTGATTATTATTATCACTAGAAGAGAAAAGTTTGTATCGATCACTGTATTTGGCCATCAATATTTTCATTAGGCCCTGGTACCAGTAAGCAGGTTGTGTAAGCATTGGTGAAAGTCTCACATCTAGTTCAAGAAAACTCTGAATATATGCTAAATCCTTCATTTCAAACAATTCTATGTACGATAATGGATTCTGAAAAATAAAAAATATATAAATATGAGTGAGTTTACTCTAAAAGGGCCAATGTCCAAATTATAAATTCTGGAATGTCAACTATGCCATTTTAAAAATGAAAAAAAAAAACACATATGTCAAAAGAATGTCAAAAGAAAAAAACGTACTTACTTTTTACTTTCTTTCTTTTGACATTGTATTCATTAGAATGAGGGATTTATTAAAATGGAAGTTTTTGATATAAATAATAAAAAATCTGAAAAACTGACATCAGTTATTCTAAAAGCAAGCCATAGATATAATTATACTTTATTAAAATGTTTTTAAATATTCATACTAAAACTCCCGCCTGTATGCACCAAACTTTGGTATAATTGGAATAAAAAATTTTCAGTTATAACTATGTTTTTTAATCATTTTACCAATGAATAAATTGTTTACTTGTTATTAATAAATACTAAATTAATAAAATAAAATCTTACATATACAACATTGAAAATAAAGAATAAATGCATCATTTGTTATTCAAGAATAACATGTATAACAATAATAATAATATGTAAGAATATATCAATGTAAATAACAAAACAAGGTAAATAACACTGAAGCCTTAAGAATGTATGCACATATGAGCTTTCAGTTTGTTTAAATCATAAATTTTGAATACAATGACTTACTCATTTGTTTGTGAAGGTAATTTTATTTTAATTGTTAACATTAATTTATTTAATTGTTAAACATGTCATACTGAAATTGTGGAGGAAATTAATCATTTGAAATGAAAGGCATGTAATGCAAATAAATAATGTATATTTCTGTTATGAGAAACTAAGTATAAAAATATTTTTTTTAAATATGTAATTAAGACTATTTCACAATACAAACATACAGAGGTTGAATTTGAGAGGAGTTTATTCCATAAAAGATGAACTCTGCAGTCTACTGAACCTTTCTTAATCATACATTCAATGTTTTTTCGAGCAGCAGAAGCTTCTTCTAACACAATTTCATGCATCAGTTGTTCATGAGAAGAGTAATATCCTAAATAATTAACTGCTTCCTGCCTATAAAAATAAGTATTTACATTAAAAAATATTTTCATATTTAAAAATAAATAACTATATAATTTTAAAATCTTTGGTAAAAGATAACAAACTTTAATATAATATCATTTTTTTCAACATACTAAATAAGTAAAAACAGTATGAAATTTTAAAAGCAACAATTTAATTTATTTTAGTAAACCAAAGTTAAGTAGATCATATAATTATTTTAATACAATTATTTCAAACAGTAAATAAATTGATATCAAGCGGACATTGGTATTTTTTTGTTTATTGTTGTAAAGTCATAGTGACTCATGTAACTGCCAGTGTTATATAAAAGGTGTTTTAGCCAAGTGACCATAAGACTTTTTTTTTTACAGATAATTATATAATCGTTTTAAAAGGTAACTGGTAAATAAAAATTTATTATTTTAAAAATACAACATGCACTTTTGGTTCATGAATAAAGAACTTTTTAGCCACGAACACTAAAAACATGAATAACAGAACAGTGAATAAAGAACTTTGATTGTATTGCAAATACACTCATATCCAAAATATTTTATGCATGCTAATCTATTTAACAACGGATTTAACTTATTTTAAACATGGATTAACTAACTACAATATGCAAAGTAATTTTATATCAAACAATAACCGATTACTAATTTACTCAATGATTAACTTCAGATTTAAAGGGTTACAAGAATAGAAGAGAAGAGCAAATAGTGGCACAGGACTCCCCATGTATTGCGGGTCTCAAGCTTTAATTTCAATGAATAGGCTATAAACAGTTAATATGAAGATATCATAAGAAAAATATATATCATTATTATTAAAAACAATTGATAGGCATAATGTATTAAGACATCAGACAGAATACATTTTAGCAGAAAGATACACTTTTTCTGTAGAACATATTAAAAACTAAAATTTAATTATCAAATCCTTATTTAAAATCATGATTGAAAAAATACTAAAATATCCTTGAACTCAACTCAGTGCTGGCCCTAAGGCTGGAAAAACTGACCATATGCCATGAGGTGCCAAAATGGAGGAGCATCCCCCCACTAGGTGGATATTATAAAAAATTACAAAGTGTATAAGTAAAAATAATTTTAGCCTATTAATAATACAAATAATTTTGAGACAAACCAAATAAAAATGAAGTATTATCCAACATTATAAAAAATTAAATTAAATTTTTTTGTGGGGAGGAAGCGGTGTTCTAGAAATAATTGTCTTGCGTTGCCAGATGTCTTTGGTTACTTTTATTTCAAAGAGAGACTTAGGCCCGGTGCTCAAATACATTAGCATTTCTGTTTCAGAGCACATTAGTAAGATAGAGTGCAGTGTTAAAGGTCCTACAACTTCATCGTAAACATATTTATAATATTGTTAACATATATGCCACTAACATATCTGATAAGATCTAATCAATTTATATGCCTTAGCACTGTGTTCAGTACAAAATATCATCCGTCAACTGGTCCACACCAAAGATTGTCTTCAACACGATATGTTGTAACAAAACTGGCAACTAAGTTGCCTGTTTCTAAGTCCCTCAAGTCACAGGAATCTATCAATGTTTTTTCTATCAAACTTTCTAGAACGTCTATATGCAATTAATTGATTAATAATTCAAACAATATAATTTAAAATGAAAATAGAAGCCTAGTTCAACACAATGCCTACTTAATTATACAAATGAATGAAAAATGAACCCTTTCTTGCCCAATATTGTAGATTTTAACGAAACCAATTTTTTTTTGTTTGGGTTGGGATACCTAATATTTGGAAAGATAAATTAAAAAAACAATGTGCAGTCCTATCACAACATATCCATGAGTGGTGCCTTGTGGGCACCTTTGGCAATTTTTGAAAGAAGCATGGATTGTGGGGCCTTATTTTGTCATTTAGAATAAATTTTTATTCATGATTGAAAATTCAGATGAAAAATTGTTAATTTTTTGTAAATATAAATTAATATTAGACCATAGTATATCCATACATTAAAATCACACCTTAATTACCCTCTAAAAGTCCTGAATTCTGAAAACAGGTTTGGAAACTTAGCTTATGAGTATTATCAAAAAACGTATTCTAGTATAATACAGTTAGGAATATAAAGAATGAGAGGGGAGTGTTAGTGTCAGAGGAAAAAAAAGTGCTGGAGGTATGGCGTAGGTATTACTCAAGACAGCTTGAAGGCAACCAGGAAGCAAACGATGTTCTTGTAGAAAGAAGAATCTTTCCAGAGGACAAAGGAAACGATCCAATATAAGAAGAAAAGGTTGAGAAGGCTATTGCGAAGATGAAGACAGGAAAAGCAGCAGGACGAGACAACATAATCCCAGAATTTATTTAATATAGTGGACCAGAGTTAGTAGGAACTCTTCAAAATTTCTTCCAAAGAGTTTGGGACAATGAAAGAATCCCTAAGGAATGGGAATTAAACGTATTATAATACCCATACATAAGAAAAGAAACCAAAGTGATTGCTCTAATTACAGACCTATCTGCCTGTCTCCAGTCCTCTATAAACTATATACCTCCATCCTAGAGAACAGATTAAGACCACTGGTGGAACCTGACCTCCTGGAAGAGCAAAGTGCTTTCAGGCCCGACAGGTAAACAAATGATCACATCTTTACTTTGAGAAATGTGATAGAGAAGTCCTGGGACCGAGACCGAAATATTTATCTCCCCGTCTTAGACTTGAAGGCAGCATTCGATTCGGTTTGCCGGAATGAAATTTGGGAATCCTTGAAGGCAAAAAACATCCGAATAAAGCTTTTAAAGGCTATAAAATTGACATATCAAGAGCCAAAAGGGGTTGTACGTCTGAATGGAAAATAGTCAGGAATGTTTAGACTCAAAAAAGGAGTAAAACAAGGCGATTCCCTAAGCCCCCTTCTCTTCATTGTCTATATGGATGAGATCGCCTCCATCTGCACAAATGCACATGGGCCATTGGAACTTGTTTCCTGTAGTTTCTCCTATTTGTAGATAGATAGATAGATAGATAGAAAAATAACTTTATTCTGGGACACAGTCCCTTGAGAATAACAAAATAGAACAAAATTAATATATTACATCTGGCCAAAATAAAATCAATCGAAAAAAAGAAATAATGTAAAAAAAAATATAAGGTAAAAATTCTATAAACAAAACAAACTAAACTATACACAAAACCATTAATACTATGACAAGACACTTAAAGCTGTTTGCTCTTATAGACCAGTATACACTTTTACGAAAAAAATAAAGAATTAAAAAATAAAAATGTATCAAATTCTCTATTAAAATCAGCTCGAATGGTTAGCAACTATCTGACTGTTTTTGGGATAGGAATTGGAATAGGAGGGTTTTGAATGTGGATATGGATGGGGAATGTCGAATTTTGATAGGGAGGGAATTCCAGAAATTGACAGAGCGAACAATAAAGGAATTTTGGAATGAGGCAGATCTGTGAGAAGGCATGTAAAGGTTAGAAGGTCGAGATCTTGTGGACAGGGAATGGACTGAGGATTTGAACTGGAGAAGGTTGTAGGCATAAGAAGGACGATGGTTGTTGATGATTTTGTAGAGGAACGTACCTAGGAAATATTGTCTTCGGAAGGAGGAGAAAAGCCACTTTAACTCAGCGTAGTCGTGAGAAACATGGGAGTATCTTGGGGCCCCGATCACAAATCTTACGCAGCTGTTCATTAGTCTTTTCAGTCTATCACGGAGCTCCACAGAGAGGCCATCATACACCACACAGCTATAGTCAAAGTGGGGGAAAATGAGAGAGGAAACTAGGAGTCTACGCATATGTTGAGGTAGGAGATGGTGGAAGCGATGGAACAGTTTGAGGGTGGAAATTGTCCGTCGAGTGATATGAGAAATATGGTGATTCCAAAAGAGGTTTTGATCAATGAAAAATCCTAAATTTTTAACAGAGGAGTAGAAGGAGATTGGCTGATCATTAAGGTGAAGGATGGGAAAGTCTATATAGGATCTAAGGAGGGGCTTGGAACCAATGACAATGGCCTGAGTTTTGAATGACAGGCACTGATTCGATCTAGGTCTTCTTGAATCTTGGCAAATGCCCCCAGTAACTCAGGAGGGAAAAATGATAGGTACATCTATGAATCGTCTGCATAAAGGTGATAGGAACAATGGAGAATTGATTTAGGTAGGTCGTTAATGTAGGAGCTGAAAAGGAGAGGAGATATGCTTGAACCCTGGGCAACTCCAGAGGATAAAGAAAGGAAAGCAGATAGTGGTTGGTTGGGTATGGAGACTGCTTGGGTACGTTGTGAAAGGAAAGATTGAAACCAAGAGATGGAACTATTAGAGAAGGATAATAATTTCAGTTTGTTGAAAAGGATGGAATGGTTGATGGAATCAAAGGCTTTGGAGAAGTCGAGAAGGATAAGGATTGTTAACTTTTTATCATCTATTGCAGTTTGAATGTCGCTGGTGATTTTAATTAAGGCGGATTAGATGACAGATGACATCGTTATAATTGCAGATTCCCCCGAGCGACTTCAGCAGGCAGTAGCAGAGTGGAATGAAGAATTGAAAAGGAAGCGAATGACCATCAATTCTCAAAGAAGATGAAAAGCAAAATTCTTCAAGTTGGCAGAACTCGAGAGGATATCCGGATTGTCCGTAATGAAGAGGTCATGGAGGTGGTAACAGATTTTACCTATCTGGGTACGGTAATCAATAGGTCGGGAAAAGTAGATTCAGAAGTCTAAAGCAGGATATCAAAAGCAAATTCCGTCTACTATACAATATGCAATACCGTAATCGGAAAAAAGGAAGTGGGGCAGGATGTGAAGCTCCATCTGTTCAAGTCTGTCTTTCTACCAGTACTTCTTTATGGAGCAGAGAGTTGGATCCTGAATGAAAAATTACAAAGCGGTGTTACTGCCACTGAGATGAAGTTTCTTAGAATAATTGTGGGGAAAATATGGAGAGACTGTGTCCGAAATGACAGGATCAGGGAGGAGCTAAAGCTACGCCCT